AGTAAAGGGCAGAAAGAAACTATCCAAATCAGCAAAATCAGCAATGAAAAGGGGGACATAACAATAGAAACTGAGGACATCCAAACAATCATTATGTCTTACTACAAAAGCCTATATGCCATAAAATTTGAAAATCTAAATGAGATGGACAATTTTCTTGACAGATTATATCTACCAAAATTAAATCAAGATCAGGAAAATAGATTCAATAGTCCTATATTCCCCAAGAAAATAGAATCAGTCATAAAAAACTCTCCCTTCCAAAAAAAAAAAAAGAAAAGAAAACCCGGGACTAGATGGTTTCAGCACAGAGTTCTATCAGACCTTCAAAGAAGAGCTAACTCCAATTCTCCTCAAAGTATTCCACAAAATAGAAACAGAAAGAACATTACCAAACTCATTCTAGGAAACCAGTCACCTTGATACGTAAACCTCACAAAGACCCAACCAAAAAACAGAACTTCAAACCTATATCTCTTATGAACACTGATGCAGAAATAATAAAATACTTGCAAACCAAATCTAAGAACACCTTAAAGATATCATCCACCATATCCAGGCTAGAGCAGTAAGACAACTAAAGGAGATCAAGGGGATACAAATCAGAAAGAAAGAAGTCAAAGTATCACTATTCAAAGATGATACGATAGTATACATGAGTGGACCCACAAATTCTACCAGAGAACTCCTAAAACACCTTCAGCAAAATTGCTGGATATAAAATTAACTCAAAAAAATCTGAAGTCTTCCAGTTTACAAAAGACAAGTGAGCTGAGAAAGAAATTGGGGCAACAACAAACTTCCAATAGTCACAAATAACATAAAGTATATCGGTTTAACTCTTTATCAAGCAAGGGAAAGATTTGTATGAAAAAAATTTCAAGTTTCTGAAGAAAGAAATTGAAGAAGATATCAGAAGATGGAGAGATTTTCCATGCTTATGAATCAGTAAGAATAACAGCAAAAATGGTCATCCTACCAAAAGAAATCTAGAGATTACTGAAATTCCTTATAGACCTTGAAAGAACAATTCTCAACATCATATTAAAAAGAATAGTTAAAACAACCCAGTACAATAAAGAACTTCTGAAGTTATATCCATCCCTGATATAAAGCTATACTATAGAGCAAGAGTAATAATAACAGCATGGTACTGGCAGAGAAACAGACTTGTGGGTCAATGGAATTGAATCAAATACACAGAAATAAACCCACACACTACTACAGAAGGGAGGACTAAGGCCAGAAATTTAACACTGAACCCCCACGGTATGTCCTTCTCTCTATCAAGCTATGTAAGACTTCCAGCCCCCAGTACTACAGCTCAGAATCTCCACTTTCCCCCCTCAAAACACTAGCATATCAGTGAGAAAAAAATCCTGCTTTTGGAAATGCCTGTCTGTTCTCTTTTAAGTCCATGTCAACTGTATCAGTCCTGATCTAACAGACACTAACTACAACATGCACTGAGGAAAGCTGAGAATCATAGGTTCATATTTTAAAAGTCTTCATTCAACTAAGCATTTAGATGTAAAAAAATAAATGGGTAGATTTCTAGATGTATAAAGTCTAACAGCATTAAATCAAGAAGTAAATTATTAAAACATACATGTAACAACCAAGACAGAAATGATAATCTAAAAATCTCTCAATTAAAAAAATATAAAAGAAAGCAAGCCTAGGTCTAGCAATTCAGCATGAATTCTACAAGAGTCTCAAAGAAATCACTGCAATACTCCTCAAAATATTCCACAAAAAGGAAAAGGAAGAAACACATCTATATTTTTGTGAAGACACCAGTATTATCTTGATTACAAAAAATCAACTTCTGAAAATAACACAGCCTAATATTGTGTTAACTAATTAATAATTTGTGTTATAAAGAACTTCTATATCGGTATTCAGTTATCTGTACAAGAGACATACTCATCTAATATATCATGACTGGAAACCATGATTACAGACTATTTCAATATCAATGTCAAATATTACTGATTCCCATAATACTAAATTATATAGTATACACTCACATTTCATCTTCTATTTACCTAACGTTGACTGAATGAAAAGTTCAATTGACTTGCTCAACAATCTTCTTCATGATACCCTATTTGAAGGTGATCCCCAAGGCTCATATGTGTAAATGAGTCCTAGTTTATATCTTTTGGTTTAAAACCCACAAATTACACTTATCACTAACACGCAGAGATATGGCCCCAGCTCATGATCACTGTCTGTGTTCTAAAATTTAATTAATGGGAGCAGTTTTGGTTTCACCTTCATCTTACCTTACTAATACTAAATAATCTGTGAAAGCAATTAGTTTTCAGTTACTGCTGACTCTAAGACAGTCTATTTATTGTCCACAAAAGGATCTTCTCATGGTCTTTGTCATAAATATAGATTGTATTTTCAGTGAAATGGCTGCTTTGGATACAATCCCCTCGTATATATATCCTACGCCATTGGACATATCCCATGAAATCATAAAAATTTTGGTTATTAAACTTGCTATATTTTTACAGTATTTACACATATATCTTACAGAATCTCATCTCACACTAGGAAAACATATGTTGAAAGACATTCAAACTTAATGTCTTCAAATGAGTGCTTTCAGTCCCCAAACCATGTAATATAGATATATACACATACACTTGACAGAACCTGTTTTCATTTTAATCTGTACTTTCAATGAAAACGTTTCATTGAATTGACAACAGTGAATTACTTACCAATAATATAAGATCCTGATGCTTCCCTTGCTTATGAGTTCCCATGCTTACCTGGCATGGCAGAAGCCAGTCCAGATTTCTGTCTTCTTTAGATCCCATTTCAATTTTGCTCAATAGCATTTTATGGAGGGCATGGGCCACTGCATACACTGCATTCCCTATGGAAGAGCTGGGCTCAGAAACGGTCACCACATAATTTTCTTCTGGTTTAATCTTTATAGAAATTGGGTATGGGTCATGATTTTCACACAGCAAAGCAGGAGGTGAACAATCAAAACTATCAATCCAGAGTTTATGGACGTAAAAATCTCCTGGGTACTGGGAGGGTATAGGAGACTAGAGAAAGTTCATTAAACTAAGGATAGCTCTTGTCTTTGAATATGAGAAGCTTCCTTTGAAAATGTTCATCAAGTCATTCCTAATTAATACGGACTCGAAATAAAATGTGTTGGTTTGCCATGTTCTACACCTTCTTTCTGGATGAAAATATTTTATTAACCCTGTGGAAAAACTTCAGTTACTTATATGACTACAGAATACCTGCATATTTACCTGTGTATGTTGGTTCAAATTCAGCAAATCAACACCAAATAGTACCCAAATTTCAATTAGCTGTTTCTCTCTCTCTTTCTTTTCTTCCTTCCTTTCTCTTCTTCTTGCTCTATCTTTTATTTCTCTTTGCCCATGTGTGTATGCCTTCAAACCAACAGAGGTGGCCAGATCCTTCTGTATTGAGTCCCTAGCACCCTACCAACTAAGCCCAGTGCACCTTACCTAGTCAACCCCCAGGCCCCTGAACATTATTAATAGGGTCCTCCCTGCTCGTGCACTCGCTGGCCAGCAGAGGGCGTCAGAACAATCTATACAAGGTCGTGTACAGCCTCACCCCCGGGCGGGGAGCACCCATCTCCCCCAGGATGCACGCAGGCCTGGTGGGAGCAGAGGACTGTGCCTCTTCTCTTCCTGCCATCCCCCTGCCTGCAGTTCCGCCCCACGCACGAGCCGCTCGGGGACTCCAGGCGGATGAATGGAAGGCGAGGGATGGGCAAGGGAGAGAGGCGGGGAACCCCCAAATCCCTCCTACCACCTTCCTCCCCTCCCTCCCACCCCAAGTGTGAGCAGGACTATGAGTTCATAACAATTTGGGATAAGAAGATTGCTGAGCTGGGAAAACCGTTCTGGGTAGCAGCGCGTCTCTAGCGGAAGTCCCGCCCCTTAGGGCTTCGCTTCCAGATCCACCCCGCAAAGAGCAGAGACTTCCGGGCTCGGGGGCACCGAGGTCGCCCCGCCACCACCCTGGCCCCTGCCACAGGGATGTATACACAAACCCTCTACTCACAGATGGACCTTCATCCCTTTGTTTCTCACGTCGGAGCTCTTGCTAGTCACGGAAGTCCCAACGGTCCCAAAATGCATCGCCTCAGAGACCCACCAGCCTGAGAACTACAAACGTGGCTTCGGAGCAAGGAGTTCTGGAATTGTATGTAAGAACTACAAAAATGGCGTCAAGGGTGCGCGATGCGTTCTGGGATTGCTTGTAGTCACGAGCCTGTGTCCCTCCCTGTCTGCTGGCTGGACCGTGGCCCCTGAGTCGCCTACAAATCCCAGAATGCCATGCGTGCCATTCCCAACCTTATAAACGCTGGGAGGCGGAGAGGCCACTTAGTCCTCCTGGGCCCATGGAAAGACCCAGAACAAGCGCCGCCTCTCTATCCCTCGGTCCAAGGACGGCGTGGATTGATGACGTACTTCCGACCTGGTTTGTTTTTTTCCGCTGGTGTTCCGTGCGGGCCTTGCGCTGTCGGGGCGGCGTTATGGGGGAGACGGAGTCCGCGCGCCCTGCTTTTCGGGAATCTCATCGGGGTCTCGGTGTCCTGGAGGACGAGTCCGAGGCTTCGAACATACCCGGAGGCATTCTTTACCGTCCCAGAGGGGCGCGAGCCAGCGGTTTTCCCAGGGACTACGTCTCCCAGGATGCCGCGCGGGGCAGCCAATATGGCAGCGGTCCTCCTCTTCGGCAAGCCAGCGGTTTTCCCAGGAACTACGTCTCCCAGGATGCCATGCGGGACAACCAATATGACAGCGGTCCTCCTCCTTTTGCGCGAGCTAGCGGCTTTCCCAGGGTCTCCACAGACACACGTTACCCGCCAAGCCACAGGCAAGAGAACCATAGGGACGACTCGTAGTCCTCCAGGACTCATAGAGAGACGCGAGCGGGCGCGGCTATTATATTTCTCCATCCAGAGTGGGCGCGGTATAATGACGCACTTCCGGCTTCGTTTGTTTATTTTCCGTCCGTGCACTAGCAGGGGAGTGAGCCTTTGCTTCGGTGTTTTCCGGGAGACCGCGCTCTCTGCTTTCCGGGCATCTCATTGGTGTTCCCGGGGACGGGTCCGAGGCGGCGATGGTGGCGGCGGTGGCGCTGAAGGCGGAAGCGGAGGACCCCGGCGACTGGCGGGACCCCGAAAGCTCCCGGAGACGCTTCCCGTGGCTGCGCTACAGGGACGTGTCCGGCCCGGAGGAGGCGCTGAGCCGCCGGCCGGAGCTGTGCCGCCGCTGGCTGCGGCCCGAGCGGCGCTCCAAGGAGCAGATGCTGGAGCTGCTGGTCCTCGAGCAGTTCCTCAGCCTCTTACCGCGCCGGCTGCGGGACCCTGTGCGCCACCGGCGGCCTGAGAGCGCGCGCCCTGCACCCGTTCTCCCCGCAGGTGAGGGAACCCCCCAGACCCTGAGACTGCTGGCGAATGAATCTTCCCTCTACCGTGTCAAGGACTCCGAGAGGGAAGGGCTTATTTTGGTGTGTCAGGGTTGAACAAGATTCACAGTCCAGGGCCAGGAAGGTGCAGCAGGGTTGTGGCGGGTCCCCTTGTTTCCCAATTAGCAGTGAGGAGGAGATGGACACTGGCGCTCCCCTTGTCTTCCTTCCGTCCATTCAGCCCAGTCAAAGCTACCAGGAGATGCTGGCTAGCTCAGGCTAGTCCCGAAGACGCGTTTCAGGGGTCCCTGAGTCCAGTCGAGGTAACGGGACGCTTTGTTACCCTGTTACTCGGCTCACCAGCTTCTTGCTCTCAGCAGGGACAGTGAGCACTAACTGAGGTCTTGCGCCCCTCCAGGCCACCACAATCAAAGCCGAGGCTGGATCTCCCACCCGGGGAGAATGGCAGCAGCTGGCCTCCGACCCCCAGAACAGCTCGTGCGAGGAGAGCACGGAGGACTATGGGAGCACGGCCATGTTGGGTGAGTGATGCTCCTCTCTGACGCCCTGTGGTTCACGTGGCCAGGGTCTCCTCCTGGATGCTGTCATGAAGTGTCCTTCCCAGAATGCCCCAGTTCCTGTCCTTCTGCCTCTGGAACCCTTCTTCTTCCCAGAATGCCTCAGTTCCCACCCCACCCCCACCTCCCTCTCCCCAAGCACCCAGGGGAACAGTTCTTATAGATCGCACACCCCCCCCCGAAGGAAAAAAAAAAAACACAAATGGGCAGTGTTGCTCAGTTGTTCAATGGTGGAGCATCTGCCGAGTCTGTAGCAAAGTGCCAGGTTCAGTGCTCAGCTCCGTTGAACAAAAAACTAAAAAGAAAAATCTGGGTGGTGAGGGTGGAGCTAAGATAGTCTTGGGGCTCTGTGCTCCAAGCAGTTTGTGGTCCGTTAGTTATCCAGGATCCCCTGGCTCTCCCAGCAAATAAGAGAGGGCGGGACTGTCTGGACACGTCCATAGTTGCCTGGGACCGCCAGGCAGGAGAAGCCGACACCCCAACCCTGCAGACCCTTAGCTGCTGCTGTCATTTGGAAGTTGGGCTTAGGGAGCTAGAGGTTTGCTTTGGTTTGGTTTTCAAAACAGGGTTCATCTGAGTCACTCTGTAGCGCAGGATGTCCTCAAACCCACAGAGATCCCCCTGCCTCCGCCTCCCTGAGCGCTGGGATTAAAGGCGTGCAGCCCAGAGTTTAAAGAGTCTTGAGGTTCAGGCTCCCCTTCCTCGTCCTTTCTCCTTCTCTTCCTCCTCTACTCCTTTTCTTCTCTTCCTCCTTCTCCTCCTTTTCCTCCTCTTTTTCCTCCTCTTTTTTCTCCTCCTTTTTCTTGAATCTTCCTCCTTGTCTCCTCCTCAACTCCTCGTCTTCATCATTTCCTCCTCAACTCTTTCTCCTCCTCGACACTCCCTCCTCCTCCAACCTTAAGAAAGTGTTTTAAGGTTGGTAAATGCAAGTTATAAAGGTTGCAAGGTCTAAGGTAATTTAAGGTTTCCTAAATAGGTAAAAATGCTTAATATTTCTTCCTGTGGCTATGTTACTGTTAAATTGATGGCCAGAGCTTTGACCTTTATCAATAGAGTTCTGATTTATTAATCTGACTCTTTTTCAAAACATTCTACTATACCACACACTACCATGGTTCCAAGCTCAAAATTTTAAATCTCCATAAGTTTAAGATCAAATGAGCTTTTGTCCCTTCTACTTCACAAAAGGTTTCTGCTTTTTCAGAGCTCACTTTAAAGAATGCTTATGCTGTTAACCAAATGTGTATGTCTATTCCATTTTTACAAGTTATAATTCAGTGCAGATTACATTTGGGATGCTAATATGTCTAAAGTTTTATCTCCATAAAACTTAAAAGTAATACTTGTAAACTTTAGGTAATCTCAGGTCAATTGGGCTCCAGGTAATGACTGCACTTATTATCTATCTCAGAGGGTGGGATTCCTCCACTCTCCCTGGTTTTGGCACTTCCCTTTCCTGGCTACCTGATTGCTGCATGTCTGCATCCAACACCAGCTGATTGGTGAGTCTTCATTTCTGCTTGAGGCAAATGCTTCTTACCATTCTCACCAACCTACAATCAAATCCTTCACCTAGGACCTCCTTCTCCCTTTGTTTAAGGCTTTCCTTCTACTGGCACGGTTTCTCTCCATCCCCCTCTTTCTTGTATATAAAAATCCTAACTAGGTAAACCATATATGCTATGGTTTATGGAAAGCTGTGTCCTTGGTCTCTGGCCACTGCTGACCAGCTGTTGGAACAGATTGTACATACTACTCCACTCAAACCTTGCTCTTTGCATGCCTTCAGAGTCACTGACTCCTACCTGGCCAATGGGAATAGTCCATTTGTTTGTTCCTCTAGAATCTCCTCTGGGATAGCTTCTGGAGAACTTAAGATTTCTACACCTAGTGCCCACTTTAAGGGCCTCTAAGTTTACACACTTCTGTAACCAAACTTGGCTTCATTTTCCTTAGATGACAGATCCAAAGCAGAGCCTTCTTAATTACAGGCAATGATTTGGTAAATGGAGGTTCCCTCAATTAAATGGAGGTTCCCATGTTCAAGTCTCTTTGACCCAAAGTTTCCAACTCTGTTCTCTCTCTCAAAAGTTTTAAATGTACACCTGAATAAATTTTCTGCATAACCCACTTAACTTTTTCTTTGGTCTAGATATTTATTTATATATATACATATATACATATATATATATATATATATATATATATTTCAATATCCTGCCAGATGCAGATGTTTCCTATATCCACAACAGCACCAAGGCAGCTACCACAAGTTTTCCAGTCTGACCACACAGACTTCCTCAAGCTGGACTTGCAGTTTTTTTCCCAGCCATGGATGTTCTCACAGACCCTGAGCAGCATCAAAACAGCCTGTTCTTCATGGACTTGACCAGAGTTTCAGCCTTTTGACCTACCTACAGAGACCACAGTATCAGCAGGACAAACCAGAAGAAAATCAACACCTGTTATTCACTTATTATTATCAAAAGCCCAGAATGATGTGTTTCAGGCCCAGTACAGGTAGCTCCAGGTTCTCCCAGCATTCCTCAGTCCTTACTTGTTAGCTTGCATGGATGGCAACTCTACAGGCCACCCCCTACCCTGAACTTTCCAGGGCAGTGGATTCTTCTTCTCCTCCTCTTGATCATGTAATCTGGATATGTTGTTATTATCTCTCTCTCTCTATCTCTCTCTCTCTCTCACTCACTCACTCTCTTGCATGGCAACCAAGAGCTGCTTCCAGTGAACCTAAATGTATATACTTTAACTTGCCTTACATGAGACGCAGCCAAAGCTCCTCAGTTTTTAATTATTAAAAAAAAGGAAGAATGTTAGCATTCAGGCAGCCTGCTTCTCAGTTGCCTAGCAACCTATGATGTCATCATGTGTCACTGACCAAGTAGCTATACCTGGCAGGCATGGTTACATGTTGCTCCTTAACAGGTTCAACCTGCCACTTCGTCTCTCTTGCCCTCTCCCCGTTTCTGTTGGGGCATCCCATACCTTCCCCCATCCTGTCTCACACTCTCCTCTTTCTTCATCTCCATCCAATAAACCTCTTTCATATAAAATCTGCTGTGCACATCATCATTTCTTAGGTCCTAACAGTCCTGGACTCTGTCAACCAGGCCGATATTGAACTCACAGAGACAGCCTGTGTCTGCCTCTCAAGTGCCTGGATTAAAGGTTTGTGCAACCATGCCTAGCAAGACGTTAGATTTTTAAGGATTTGATTAAGGGAGGGTTTCTTACATCCTAAACTTTTTATAAGATTTCTGAGTGGCTGGATGACGGGACCTCTGATTATTATTATTTGTGTATGTGTGTGTGTGTGTGTGTGTGTGTGCACGCCTGTGCTTGCACAGACATTAAATCAGACATTGCTGCCATCCTCACAGTCCTACTGAGATCAGAGTTTTTATTCTCATATTTAAGAAATGTTATTTTTTAGAAAAATATCTCTTAGCCTTTTTGTTTGTGTGAGGATGTGAGATCCGCTGGAACTGGATTCACACAGTGGTAGGTGTTGGGGATTGAACCTAGGTTCATCTGGAGGAGTAAGCACTGCTTTAACCACTGAGCTATTCCTCCAACAGTTCATTATGTAAGCTTAAAAAGAGAGTACTAATTACTGTCAAACAAAAATGTACAATTCATCTGACAGTGGGATTTTTAGGTGAATAAGTCTCAGAGACCCAGAGCCGGAGAGATGGCTAAGAGGTTAAGAGCACTGTTTTGTTCTTCCAGAGGTCATGAGTTCAATTCTCAGCAACCACATGGTAGCTCACAACCATCTATAATGAGATCTGATGTCCTCTTCTGGTGTGCAGGTGTACATGCAGACAACATTGTAATATAATAAAGAAATGAATATTAAAAAATTCAGAGACACGCCTGCCACTGCTTGCAGGAACCCTGGGATGACAGGCATGTGCCATCACACAAGCATTTTTTTTTAATATTTGAAAAAGATCTATTATCTGTGTCTAACTCCCACTGCTGTAATCAAAGGCACAGAGACCCAAGAATACTTTCTCCAAATGCCAGGGAGTGGACATGTTTTAATGAAGCAGCACCAGCAGCTCCTGATGTGATGACTTCTGGGACAGGTGGCTGGGCAATGACCTCATGCAGCTCCTGGCCAATTGTGGGACACTATGGCATGGCAGGGAGACCAGGGGAAAGGCTGTGTGGGCTTTGAAAATGATGATGGGCCACAGCTGTCTGCAGCAGCATGAAGAGGCTTTCTGAGCTTTCTACTTCCAGGCTTCTTGCCAAGCAACCAGTGAGGGAAGCTGGGGAATGAGGGCACTTTATATTGGGAACAGCACGCAGTGGATCCTGGGATTTGTAGATGGCACCCAGGCCACAGTTCACGCAGAATACTGGCAGAGACACAGACACCTGACTCTAATCAATCCCAGTATGCATCCCACCCCCAGTATGCCATTTATATAGTTCTCAGCTACAATCCCAGAAGTCCATGCTCCGAAGCCATGTTTGTAGTTATCAGGCAGGTGGACCTCTGTTGCAATGAATCTTGGAATGGATGGTACTTCCCTGACCAGGGAGCAGTCCGAAGTGGGACATGAAGGGATAGAAGACTGTCTGTGACTAGAAACATTGTGTTTACATCCCTGGAACAGTGGCCAGGCCAGGGTGATGGTGGGTTGGCCTCGGGAGCCTCTGAGCCCCATAGTGTCTGCTCCCAGCAGGGTGGATCTGGAAGCAAAGCCTGAAGGAGCAGGACTTCTGCTAACCTGTGCCACTGTCTGGACTGGTTTTCCCTTGTCAGCATCCTTCTTATCCCAAGCTGTTTGCCTAAGCTCTGAATCCCAATCACACTGGGAGGCTGTCCATCATTCTGTCTCCCTGAAGTCCATAAGTGGCTTGTTTGTGAGGCTCCCACCATGTCTGCATGCATCCTGGAGGAGGTGGGTGCATGCTGCCAGGGGTTCAGGTTGTGCACGACCTTGTATAGGTTGTATAGGTGCCCTCTGCTGGCCTGCAGGTAAGCGAGCAGCCAGGACACTATAAATAATTTTAGGGTGCTAGAGACTGATTAGGTAAAGTGCTCTGTTCTTAGTGGTTAGGGTGCTTGGTCTCAGTACATAAGGATCTGGCTACATCTGTTGACCTGAAGGCATACACACATGCTGAACAGTGTATAAATAGTGTTAAGGTACAGGGGGCTGAGTAGCTAAGGTGCTCTGTGCTTACTAGTTAGGGTTCTCGGGACTCAGTACAAAAGTATCCTGCCACTTCTGCTGGCCTGATGGCATACATACGTGGGCAAAGACAAAAAGGAGGAGGATAAAGAAGAGAAAAGGGAGCAAGAAAAGTAAGAAAGGTGTCTGTGTGGTTTTTACAAAATACTCCCAGCTAATTGAAACTTGGGTACTATTTGGTGTTGATTTGCTTTATTTGAACCAACATACACAGGTAAATGTGCAGGTATTCTATAGTGATATGAATAATTGATGTTTTTCTTCATGGTAAATAAAATATTTTCAACCAGAAGGAAGGTGTGGAACATGGCAAAACAACACATTATATTTAGAGTCTGTATCAAATAAGAATGTTTTGGTAAACCTTTTCAGAGGAAGCTTCTCATATTCAAAGACAAGAACTATCACTAGCTTAAAGCATTTTCTTCGAGGCACCTATATCCTCCCAATACCCAGGAGAGTCATAATTCCATAAATTCTGGACTGGCAATTTTGATTGCTCACTTCCTGCTTTGCTATCTGAAAATCATAAACTATACCCAGCAAATATTTCTATAAGGATTAAACCAGAAAAAATGGTGTGATGACCATTTGTGAGTCCAACTACAAAATATTGTATGCAGTATATGCAGTGGCCTATGCCCTCTGTAAAATGCTATTGAGCAAATGCATCTAAAAAAGACTAAAACAAGCAGGGGCTTCTACCATGGCAGGGAAGCCTCACTCATAAGCACGGGAACCATTAGGATCTAACATCATTGGTAAGTAATTTACTGTGGTCAAGCCAATACAACATTTTTTCTTATAATTAAATTTATAATTTTAAATGAAAAAAAGGTTCTATCACAGACTATTTGTCTATGTCAGTAATTATCTTACATGATTTTGGCACTGAAAGCACTGATTTGAAGACATTAAATTTAAATATATTTCAGTAAATGTTTTCCTAGGGTGAGATGAATTTCTGTCTCTGACATAAACTCAGTGGCAGGCTCCTTGAATACCCACCCTGAGCAGCCTGGCCAGGCCACAGAGGAAGACAATACAGCTAGTCCTGATGAGACCTGATAGACTAGGGGAAGAAGGAAGGGGAGGAGGACCTCACCTATCAGTGGACTTAGAGAAGGTCTTGGGAGGAGATGAGGGAGGAGGCTACAGATGGGATACAAAGTGAATAAACTGTAATAATATAAAAAATAAAAAATTAATTAAAATGACAAAGAAGTCATAAAAAAAGATGTATGGGTAATCAATGTAAAAATATAACAAGTTAAAAAAAATGAAATTTTAATAATTTCATTCAATATGTCCAATGCCATAAGATACAGACAAAGGGATCATATCCAAAGCAGCCATTTCACCTAAAATACAATATCTATTTATGACACAAAACTTTAAGAATATCCTTTTGTGGATGATAAATAGCTTGTTCTAAAGTCAGCAGTAATTGAAAAGTAAATGTTTTCACAGGATATTGAGTATTAATAGGTAAGTTGAAGGTGAAACTAAAACTGTGTTTCCATTATTAAATTTTAGAACACAGACAGTGCTCATGAGCCCAGGCCATATCTCAAGATAAGTTAATGTGTGGGTTTCAAACCAACAAGATATAAACTTAGGACTCATTTAAATGTAGAAGCCTTCAAGGAGGGTATCAACTGAGCAAGTCAATTGAACTTTTCATTCAGTCAATGGTAAGTAAATAAAAGAACTGTGAATGTTTAGCATACTATGTAATTTTTTGTATTATGGGAATCAGTAATATTTGACATTGATATTGACATAGTCTGTAATCACAGCTTCTAGTCATAGTATGTTAGGTAAGTTAGTACATCTCTTGTACACATAACTGTGTACCTATATAGAAGTTCTTTATCACAAGCTATTAATTAGTTACAATGTTAGGTTGCATTATTAATTTTCAGAAGTTGATTTTTTTGTTATCAAGATAATACTGGTGTCTCAACAAAAATATGGAATTTTTTTTTCCTTTTATTTATCCTTTTCCCTTCTGTGGAATACTTTGAGGAGCATTTCAGTGAGTACTCTGAGACCCTTGTAGAATTCATACTGAATCTCTGGATCTAGGCTTGCATTATTTTATTTTTACATTTAATTGAGAAATTTAAATTACTGTTTCTATCATATTTGTGATGTGTCTGTTTAAATAATTTACTTCATCTTGATTTAATGTTGTTAGATTTTATAACTCTAGAAGTCTACTTTTTTTACAATTTAAAGTTTAGTTGAATGAAGATGTTTAAAATATGAACCTATGATTCTCTGCGTTCCTCACAGCACACTGTAGTGTCTTTTAGATTAGGATTGATGCAGTTGACATGGAATTAAAAGAGAGAAGACAGGCATTTCCAGAGGGAGGATTTGTCTCTCAAACAGAACACTGATGCACTAGTCTTTTGAGGGGGAGTAGAGATTCTGTGCTGTAGTACCATGGGCTGCAGGTTTTAAGTGGCTTGATGGGGAGAACATATCATGGTGGTTAAGTGTATAAATTTTTGGCCATAGTCCTGCCTCTGAGATTTCATTCATGAATTGTGGGTGCTGGCAGTTATTTTTGAGCATGCAGTAGTTTTGGGGGAAGCATTTTCCAGTCTAATTTTTTTTCTTTGTTAATGTTTCTATTGCTATGATCCAACATTGTACTGTACGTGTGTGTGTGTGTGTGTGTGTGTGTGTGTGTGTGTGTAATAACAATGAAAAAAGACACCACAATTTTACAAAAGAGCCATGAGGAATGTATGGGAGTGTTTGGAAGGAGGAATGAGGAGAAGTAATGATGAAGTTATATTCTGCTTGAAGTTATATCAGAATTGAAAAATAATAGAAATAAAAATAATAAGTCAAATCACTATCATTGATGTATTAAACTTTCTTGAAGGCAGCAAAAATTCTAGTCAATTTTTTTTGTTTAACAATCTTTGCCACTTTGTTATAAAATTGAGTCTCTTCCTACTGGGGTTTTACTGGAACATGTTTATAAATTCCCATTAGTTTGTTGATGTTGGTGTTATCCTTAGATTTAAAAAATGATTATTATTGCTTTTATTCTTATAATTTAACTATAACTTAACTACAATCACTTAGAACTTTC